TTTCAGGAATTTTGTAATTAAATGTTTTGTAGAAACTGAAAGTGGTATTGGGAGAGAACAACTAAGCTTTTTTTAAAAAAATACTGTAAATATTTAAGTTTAAAGACTGGAAAATATCTAAGTGAAACCACATATAGCTTTTTAAAATAGTATTGCTTCCTGTTTCATTTTTTCTCAATATTTTAGTTTTATGTCCCAGGAAATGTAACCGTATTTTCTGGCCAGCTTTGCTGCTACAAATACAGAAGTGGTGTGTGAGTGCTTAACATGCATAATATAAATAGTTGATACTGTCAAATAAAATATCTGAAATAAAGTAGTTATTGTAAGTAAAAAGAAAAAAGTTTTCTTGGAACTGTTGGAGTGAAATTTAACTATTAGTCATACTTTCAGTTATATAGTTTTGCAAACAGCAAAAGACTAATTTAGCAGAATTCAGCAAGAACACTTCCTTCTAAAATGGTCAACATCTCAGAGTTACTTTTTATTTGGGGAGCATTACCTGATTTCTTTCACCTAATTAACAGATGGGATTTCTTGCCTAAATAGTTGATTTAGGGTAAATAGTGGATATTCTCTTGTGCTGTTTTATTTGCTGTCATCGAAATGATTTATTTCTGGTACAGCAGGTTGTTTGAAGTGAAGTTTGATTGTCATGTATTCTTAAATTCTTCTGGGAAATAAACAGTAAGAGAGCAAGTAATCTTCGATGAAGGCGCAGTGTAATATGTAGAACAGAAAGTCGGGTAGGACGTAAGGTTTATGAACGCGTGAGATGTTTTTCTCAATGGTAGGATAATAAACCAAAACAACTTGTTCAAAAGAAAGTCTGAAGTAATGAACAACATCATTATGACCTCAACCTACTCGGTCAACTTTTAAGATGGGTGGTGCTGCTGCTGCTAGGATGGTTGCTGTAGTTTCAGTGTCTCTGATAGCTGATGTAATGTCTGCAGGCTATAAAATTACAAATCCAGAAACTGGCGTCGATTGTGCTCCTTCTTAATATAATATGCTCTTACTTTAAATGCCGTTTGGTCTAACAAAGAGTCAATTCACATTCAAATATTTTGTATTACCTGATTGGTATAGAACATATCTAGACAGTAATAATAATTGTATCTTTTACACTAATATTCTGAGGGACTTCATGTCTTCTATACTGTGTTTATCAAGAATGTTTATTCTAAGTAATTTTATAGTCACTCATTATTAATTATTGTACTAAAGTCCATCTTTCAGCTCTTTTGAAACAATAAGTTCATAGTGTATGAAATACATTTTTTTTTAGAACATAATTTCCACTCTTCCTAATGTTCTCTAGTTTATGTATTCTGGTAATGCAAGGAAACCTGTAAACAGATCATTTGGTCTGCATTTATAGAGTAGAATTCTTAAAGATTAAGGCTAGGACATCTTGAATAGACATAATATGGCTAACATGAATCTATTAGGGAAGAAACGTTAGCTGCCAGTATAGGAGTTGGAGAATGGTTTTCCAATTAATAAGAAAATTCCACTTCTGTTGTTAAACAATTTCAAGTGCTTGTAACAGTGACAGAAAACTGGCAAGCAAAATAGGTTTGCTGATGTAGGAGTCAAGATTAGTAATGGATTTTCTCAAGGGAACAATATTTGAAAATGTCCAAGGATTCATTTTAAAACTTTTAAAACTAGAAAAAAAAAAGGTTATATTAAGATTACGTCTTTAGGCAGACTAACATAAATTTGAAGGCACTTCTCACATTTCCAGTGTTCTTGATTCTATCTTGAACCATAATGCAGACACAAATGAGTGATTCTAACTCTTTAAACGCAGCTTACTTCTGTAGCTTTAGAGGATTTAGTCATGACTATGTACTGTAAAAGTGCACAGTCAGTGATGCTGAACTTTTACTAGGTCAAAGACAGGAGAAAATGTTGCTCTTGGACTGAATTAGTTCTCTGGAAGCGAATTTGCCCATGTCTCCTTAACTCAATGTATTAAAATTTGTGCAGCTGGATGTGAAAAACACAAAACCTCAAATACAACTTACTGCTTTAAAAGTTTTTTCACCAGTTATTTTCCAGAAGGCCTTCACAGGTCTTCGGGCTATTCAGATTTTTGCTAGTTAGAAAATGGCTTCACAAGAATAATTTGGAGTTTCTGGTAGTGTTAGTGAAGCAAACACAGCTTAATTTTATTTTTTCTCTTACTAATGTTCTGTCCTTTTTAGATACTGTTCTGTACTTAAGCAGACCAACTTTTTAAAAAGTTTTCTAACCATACTCAGAATAATTTTAAGTTCTGGGATGATTTTGGAATGAAAGAAGTTGTTGTATGTGTATACTCCCATGTATATGTTTATGCACACATATTAAAACAAATTTTCTGACAACATGGGAAACAAAAATATGTTTGGGAGCTGACAAGCAGGTGTGTCATTCATTCTTGCAGTACTAGATTATCACAACTGACAAACAGATGACTGGAAATATCTTTCAAATTATTTTAAATTCAACAAGTGCTTCTGTATAGACTTTGAAGGTCTTACCAATTTCAGTGGAAGGTATTTCAGATTACCACAAAAAGAAACCACAAGTTGCCATGATTTTTATTTCTAAGCAGTAAATTTTTTAAGAAGTGTAACCTCTATGTTGCTGTCATAACAGGGATTCTCACACTTTTTTTCAGCTTTACTTTTGGCCACATTTTAAAGAAAGCAGGGGAGAAGCTGGCTTGGTATGAGATGGTGCAGGCAGTGCATTTTTGTGATCTGAAGGTTATAGAAGCATAGGATGTTTTGAATTGGAAGGGACCTTCAACGGTTTTCTAGTCCAACCCCCCTGCAATGAGCAGGGACATCTTTAACTGGATCAGGTTGCTCAGAGCCCTTTCCAGTCTGACCTTGAATGTTTCTAGGGATGGAGAGGATGACTGCTAGGGAAGAAAGATGGAAAACACAGAAGGTTAGAGAATAAAAAATAGATAAACAAACTTTGAAGTATAACTTAAAAGATGCAGAATGTGACAGTGTGAAGCAAAGGACAGGTGCCCAAGCAGAAACTAATAGGAAATCAACAGTGGCGAGTAGGGGAAGAAGAATGGGAAGATGAGGTGAGGGAACTTCTTGTTGACATTGAAAGAGAGAATCACAGCAGAAAGGATATGTCTTTTTGTTAACTCTTCTACACATTGCTTTTCCAAATTTACCTTTCAAATTTATCCAACATATTTTGAATTTAGGATGCTTTACTCACATGAGCCTATAAAGTTGTATTTTTCCTTTACCAGATTCTACACCTTTCAGATACATGATCCTACTAGTTGTTCTCTCATGTAATAAACATTACCAGTACAAGATCTGTACTTCTCATTTCTCAGCTGTTGTTTTTTCCTCCTTTTTCCTCCCTAATTGTCATCATTGTTTTCCCGTGTACAAGACAAATGTTAATATGAGAGTGTAATGGCATGGGCTGCTGAACTAGAAATCATTGATAGAGTAGATGTCCTTAGGAAAATGCCATGGAATGGTGTACAAGGACATATATTTCAAAATCAAATGCAACCTCAGTTTTATTGTGGATATTTTTCTGTAAAATACATGTAGCCTTAGAAATTTTGCCCGTGTGGGTTTCCTAACAGATTTTTCAACCTCACTGCTCCCTGTTCAGTTCACCAACTCTTCTATTAGTTTCTCAAACTGTAGTTTTGAAAGTTCACTTTGGGATTTGTAGCTACCTTACAGCCTCATGTCTGCCACTGCTGGCAACCCTAAAGGATAAAAATTACTCAGTCAAAAGCAATTACACATCATCAGAGAGGAATCTGACTTCTGCAGCCAGAAAGCAGTTACAGACGTATAACTGTAGGCCAGCATTTCTATTCCAGCAGCATGTAATCAAAGCACTTGTTTGTTCAGAGGAATCTTGCTGCATGGTGGAGTTACTGACTGAATACACTGTCTAAATAATGCCTTCTGTCTTAGGTCTAGCTTTATTTTTTTCCCCGAGACTGTGGAGGAAGACTATGGAGGTTGTGAAAACAACCTATCAGGGTAGAAAAAAAAAGGACATAATAGGATCTGCAGAAAGCAGAGAGAGTGATTTCTAATGGGAGAAAGAGAGGGAAAAGAATAACCTTCCTACAATGAGGTTTTAATTTTTTTTAACAGATATATTTTAAAAGGCGTAAAAAAATTGGTAAGTAAGTGAGTGATATTAAAAGACAAATGGAACAAGTAAACCAAAAATGGACTGACAAAAATGTCAGGTTTATAGTCATGTGTTTATTATAACAGAAACAATTTCATCTACATAGTACTAAAACAAGAACTGTCATTATTGATTCTAAATGGACAGAAGAGTTTCAGAGCTAAATGAATCTAGACTCCACATCCACAATTTTCTTCCTTGGGATTTTCATTAAGTAAAAAAATTAAGTATGACCACAAGAAATAACCCAGTTAAATCTTATTATTTTCCATTTGTAAGCCTCTGCTAGTGAGTTAATAATTTCTAAATAAATTTACACGAGATTCAGTGCTGCATGAAATTCCTTTGCATGTCTCATTCAGATGTATAAATTCATTGCAGCAAATAGTATATCGAACAAAAATGATTTTTATTTGATATAATTTGTCATAAAGCTTACATAAACTTATTTCTGCCTTCAGATTTCTTTAGAAATCCTAGCCATTCTGATAGATTGTGGTGGGTTGAACTTGGCTGGATGCCAGGTGCTTATCAAGCTGCTCTATCACTCCCCCTGCTCAGCTAGTCAGAGAAGAGAAAATAAAACAAAATATTTGTGGGTTGAGATAAGGATAGGGAGATCACTCACATTTTACCATCACAGGCAAAACATACTCTACTTGACGAAAAAAAGAAAATTATTACCAATGAAATCAGAGTAAGATAATGAGAAATAAAACCAATCTTAAAAAACACCATCTTCCCACCACCTCTCCCTTCTCGTGCTTAACTTTACTCCTGATTTTTCTCTACCTCCTTCCTACCAGTGGCGAGGGGAACACGGAATGGGGGTTGTGGTCAGTTCATCACACATAGTTTCAGCGACTGAGGAGGAGGACTCCTCACACTCTGTGCTTGGAATTGACCCTATTCAGGTGCGTAACCTTGCACTTGGCCGTGTCAGTGAAGCATTAATGAAATTCTGTATAAAATATAGGTTGTCTGAACTTGTAGCTTTAAAGGAAACAGCAGTTTCATTGTCAGTTTACTGATAGCCCACCCTTATTTTTTAAACTGTACGCATGGTTTTAAGATGCTCTTTCAGTGATTTTTAAGAGTAGGTTATAGAAATAATGAAGACTTTTCATAGAGATCACTCAAGTTTTATGAGTTATAAGAAAGGTTTTACTTACTTTTGTCTGGTGAAATCCTGTCTTAACCAAGCCCTTCATAATAAAGTCTTTCATAAACTGATTTTTTCAAGAGAATGCTTTATTTCCTTTATTTGCCTAGCTTGAAGGCCATGCGTCAACTTGTCACAGTGTTAACAATAGCTTGTAAGTTAGACATTCAGAAAGGGTTTCTGACTTAGTAAATTAAAGTTCTGTAATTGCCAATTAAACTGCCTGTCAGTGTGTTATATGGTGCCACTATACAGATACTGCAATTTCAGCTTTTGAGGCTGGCTTCTGGCTCTGTTGGAAATCTCATCTTTGCTTTTCTCCTATTATTACTCGTTACACAAACAGTTGCATTGCACTCCCTGTCAGTGGCACTTCACCTCAAGTTCCCCATCTTTCTTGCTGTCGTAATTCTCCAAGATAACTTCTGTTCTTCTAATCTTAGAATTTCCCAGTTCTCTGCTCTTAGAAACAAATGACTAATAAGGCAAACCTAAAAAGAAATAAATTATTTACTTGTGGAAAAAAAAAAAGTGATAAAATACAGATAGCTGTGAAAATAATGTGGTAGATTTAAGAGAGTTTTTAATGCATTCAATAATAAACAACAAAAGTATTTTGCAAAATGTAACTTACTATCTGGAGGTTAAAGTGATTTTTCATATTTGAAGCTTTGCAGACGACAAATGCATTTTAACAACTCTGCCACGACATTTATGCTTCAGAGTTTGTTACATTCAGATTTAAACTGGTATGCAAAAAGATATGTTTAATGTTTACAGTAATATAAAGTCTGTGAAATGGCAATAGTCAGTGCAGACCAGTTAGTTTTCCAGGAAACACAAAATATCGTAGCTTTAATTCTTTTGCCTCCTGCAGGGCTGCAGCTTCGAGCTTTGTTCCACTGGGACAGATGAACCCTCCCTCTACTCATGGGAGGATCTGAATGTGTGAAGTGGATAGATCTGGGGACTGAACAAACCCGTTTTCAGAGATTTTAGATTCATCTAAGACCTTTACAGATTGACAGTGTTAAATAGAGCATTCAGCTTTGAAAAGAGAGGGCTAAGGTTTAAGAAGGAAACTGCATGTAATGTTACTGGAATTACTTGAACAAAACTTATGGAACTTACCAAATGCACTATATGATAATGGTTTTTTTTCTGACACACAAAAAGTGATGGTTTTCTTGAATGCATGTATATGCTGTGATCCTTTATGAAGGTATAACTCAACCTTCACCATATACCATCCCACATTCTCCAAAATTGTGTGGTATAACATCATTATTTTTGTTATTATTATCATTATTTATTATTATTATTAT